ATATATATAAATGTCCTGCTTACTAAATGAAAATGTTTCTATTCCAGTTTTCACCATATTCTATATGGTTCAAGGGGAATGGGGCGGGAGGAAAGAAAAGGGTGAAAAGGATGGTGAAGGAGAATGGTGGGTAGAGAGAGGAAGCAAACACTGGATAGTCTTTTACCCAAAATTCTATCCCGCACAGGCACAGAACAATGAGGTTGTGAACTTATCCACGTTAACTGACGACAAAGATGACAAACTTAAAATGAACCCGTAGAAGTGCAGGTCTTTGAAAACCAAGGTGAAAATCATCCCCAAGTGGCTCCTGAAGGACTTCGCCTATTTTTCAACAGCAGTCATCAGCCACTGCCTTTGAACACATGGTCTCCTTCCTTAGTGACTATATCGCACTTCAATGTCAAATGGTGAGATTTTTGTTTCCCAAACTCAGCTTAATTGTAAGAACCACCAGAGGAACTTGTGAATTACAGGGCTTCCCAGTTCCACCGCAAATCTACGGAACCTGAAGAACCTCAATTTTCTGATGGCAAATTCAGGCTGTTGGCTTTCTGCCTTTCTGCCAGGCAGCATCCTATCAGCACTTCAACCAAAGGAGCCATACAGCTGCTCAAACACCACTCTGATAAAGGATTGATGGCTTAAAAAACAAAGTTTGGACAAGTCTACTGGAAAGTCACTTCAAAAGCATAGGCCTAAATTCCAATAAGGTAAAACAGGGGGCAGACTGTGGTAACAGTAGCCATGAAAAATGTTTGTCTAGGCTCAAATATTCCACCAATAAGCATCATAAATCTAGAAAGTAAAACACAGCACAAACCCATGGCGGTGTGGTCCCTCCAGCAGTCTGGGGTTTATCTGTATACTCCAAGTCTTCACATCACCCTGGGATGTAAAATTTAATAATCATCCAAAACATGGAACGAGTCCACAGATACATTTATATTCTTTGGTCTCTTGAATAGTAAGAGTTTGGAAAGAAAGGGCTTGAAAAATAAAGACCAACAAACTCCATCCTCTATAACATTCAGAGGCAGACAAGTCACATCAGATGAAAGAGCAAATAATTACCTTCTAAGTGCCTCCTGCCATGTTCATTTCCCTCTTATTCAATGCAAATTATATCTCTGAGTTGAAACATTTTAAAAATAATATAGGAATATATATAACAGGGATGTCAGCCAAGAACTGACTCAGCAGCTGTGAGTTTAAATAATAAGAGCAACTCAAGTAAATTCGGAACGGTCAGTCCCTCTGAGGAAAACTCTTGACATTTTCTCTCTTCCTTAAGCTCAATCTCTTTCTTTTGGCACATTCTGCTCATCACACAGTATTTTGTGCATTCATAGCACTTCATAAATAATAAAAAAAATATATAATGTGGTCTTTAGACATAGGCCTGAGGAGATCAATTCTTAGAAACAATTCCAAAAGTTAACATTAATCATGTGGAAATGACGCTAAATGCCCTCAAATGTACTGCTAAAATAATCTTATTTCCGAAGCAAAACATATAATCAAAATGTGGAAGATAGTTGGCCATTTTAAATGGGGTGTGTCAATACTAGAAACTAATCTAAAACATTAACCTAACCTATTCATCTCCATCTTATCTAAAATCTCCAAACCTGTCACCACATTTTGAATGAAAAATTTAATCAAGTCTCAGTTTCCAATGATAGTGACAGGGAAAGCAAGAGAATAAACCTTTCAAAATTGTCCGCAATTGCTTTAACATTCATGTTTCCTCAGGGGTTTTCTTTAGGCACTGAGCAGATTACAGTTTTATTAGGATAGTAATAAAGCTCATTTCATTCGTTAAGTAAAAATACCTAACAGAAAGCCAGAATCCAGTTGATGTTCAAGTCCCAAGTTGCTCAAGTGGTGCAGAAGGCCAGGGATTTTTAAGTGGCTGCAAACAACCAAATAAGTAGATAATAATGACAGTTTCTTCTTCTGCACAATGGAAATAAAACGTCTCAACACACTGAAGATGAACTAAGAATATATCCTGTAATACTTGGCAAATTCAAGGTTTAAGCAAAGTTATGGAATTATGCTGGGATATTCGCCCTGTCTTCTTATGACTATTTAACACATCAACCTCCCATTTCTTGCCACCATGACCACCAATAAGAACATAACAAGATCAGAGTTTCTGTAGAATTCCAGTCCACTGAAGTTCAGCTAACAACACTCATAACAACAACTGTAACATAGCTGGCATTCTTTGTGATGAGTAACTCTAAGAAAATTCATTGAAAAGACTAAACGAATAAGAAAGGACTAAAATAAGAAAGGAGACTGGGAAGTGCTGCAGCGTCTAGCACCAGTTAGCAACAAGAGTCACAGGGAGAAAGGGCAACAAATAAAAAACTGAACAACAACAAAAGCTAGGCCACGAGGATAATGCTCAGCTCGCATTATCCTTGATGGTGTTTTCCATTATCTCCTAATGACTACTTGCGTCTCTTAATAAAGTACGCACAACAAAGTTTACTGAGACTAAGGCTATACTTTAAAAAGAAAAACTAACCATAAAAATAGATGCTGGCAGGTCACTTGAAAATACTATGTGATCTTGAAAGAAAACGAAGGGTGCCCAGACTTTCATTTCTGACCATCCATGAAGCAGAGGCCAGGCAACGGGAATGCTCAGCCTAGAAGAGAAATCTAGGGAGATTTTCACTCTCTAATAGGAGAAGAGGGGAAGAATCAGTGAAGAAAGAAAATCAAAGGTTCATATCACATTAGAAGGGAAAAACATTCAGTATTAAATCTGTGTGGCTCATAAACAAGACCTCTAGTTAAACAAGAAGACTACCATGTACCTACATATTAAGAGTTTATATACTGAAAATACGTTATTACTCGTGGAGAGTTACTATGATTCATAGCCATCAAATGAGCAGGCACCCTTGAAACGTAGGTTGCTATAAGTACCTTCTATTATAAGAAAATGCTTAAAAATATTTTTTCTGTTGTTGGATAAAAGGCTGTACCTTATTGTTTACTTATGATAAACCTTCCAAACTACTGCTACTTGACAAGTATTGGGCGATAAACATGATAAAGATAAAGGGTGATTTTCTCCCTGGCCAACTTGTAGTGATTCCAAGTTGCTATCAAACTACCAATTTCCCCGTCTCTCACAATTTACCTTTCTTGGATTTGGCTCCGATCTTCAGCTTTGACGGCCAAGCAATCTGTGTATTTGTTTCCTCCATGATCTGCAACAAAAATTAAGAGAAATACTGATTTAATTAAGAACCAGTGTTTACAGATAAGATTTTCTAATAAAGAAAGATCATTTTCAAGTCTTTAGGTTCATGTGGATACAACAAAATGATCTCACTTTAAAGCAATGCCCCCCAAAAAAAAAATTGGGGGGGGAGGGGAAGAGATGCATTTTATAAGCTCTTTATCTATCAGAAATATTCAAGTATATTTTGTTACTCCCAGTGTTTCTCTCCATGATGTCCCAGGATGTTAACATAAAGGCAACAAGACCAAAAAGTACATGAACAAGCAATGAACCCAAATTGTTGCCAGAACGGTCAGAAATGCTTGTGCTGAATAAAATTCCCCAAAACAATTGCCAATGGATTGCAACACATCAAACATAATGCTCGTAATACAAAACTATGTGGATTATGGGGGGGGGGGGGTAGGGGGAAGGAGAGGGAATAAATAACTCGCTCTGAGCACATTGATATTTCATTAAAACTGATGAAAAGCCTCTAAACATGATATCACAGCGTAAGGCTACATTCCCATCATCCTTTGCCTGGTCTGAAATGGCATATTTGCCACAGTTCTTTCTCACTTACTTGCAGCCAACACTGGCCAGGAGGCCCAGAAACTGCACAAGCGAGAGGAGTGAGACTGCCGCACAGAGGACAGAGGCAGTAAGGAAATGGTGAGTCACCAAATATTTGTATCTTTTGATCTTCTCTGCTTTTATCACATGACTTAGACAAATGTTTACTTCTGTACCATGAATACAGACTGCACCTAACTGTACAGCAAACAACTAAGCAAATCCGCAAAAACGGCCGATTACATTAAATCACTTAAATTAGAATAGGGTGCTTACTTTTTAATACGGATTTCGAGTTAACTAAACAAACTAATGGGTAAAGAGATAATGAAACACATCAACGGTCCAATTATTTAAAAGTGCCTCTTCGCTCTCCGTCTTGGTTACGACAGGGCAGAAGGCTAAATGGTGAACATGTTAACGTGCATGTACTTCATCTAATCCCCTTATCATAGCATAAAACGGCTTTCAGCAGCTGCTTCAGTCTGGCATTTTGTCTATCCACCCCAACGTTTTCTGTTCTTCAACGTGAGCCAATATTTTTAAACCGGGGAATTTCCCATACAAATTCAGATTTCTGGTTCTCTGTAAAACTTGGCAGATTTAGCACCTGCAGCCCGCATCCCCACACGGCCACGCTTGGCCTGCACGGGGGGCCAGATGCCCTCTCTGGTCAGGCCCAGAAGGCTCCAGCAGCCCTCCAGGCCCCACGGCATCTCTCCCACTGAGGTCAAGAGTCCTGGCCATCACCACTGTCAGGTTTGTATGATCACAACTGCCATTTCTCACGGTGTTTGCACTGCTGCTTTTCTTGGAGAAATATTTCTCTGCACTGGAGTCTCTATTAAAATCGAAAACCAAAGGGAAGTTACACTGTCTTCACAAGGTCAAGGTGCTGGCCTGGCTCTTAAGGTAGGTATGCTCGCCACCCCAGCCCTACAGGACCCGGCCCCTGCTTCTCTCATCTTATACTGTCCTTGTTAATATGTATAACTGTCTTCACCACTAAATTGCTAAGTTAACTCTAAATCTATATCTAAAAATAAAATAAATATCATCCTCCCCGTCTCCCTCCACTCCAGCTATACAGGCCTCCTCAAGAACGTGCCCTGCAGGCAACCCCTTCGGGGTCTTTGCATTCACTCTGATGGCTCCCTGTCACCTCCCCGCAACACACACACCCATGCACCACCCCCCAACCAGAATTACTCTTCCCACTTCACTGCGTTTATTTCCCTCCTAACTTTTGTCACAATCTGAAATTCTCCTAATTTTCTGGGATTACTTTTTTATCGTTGTCTCTGCAAAATAAAAGTAAGCTCTCTCTACTCTGTACTCAACAAGCACAGGATCTGTTTGGGTAAATGAATCTTCGTAGCATGCCCATGAAGTAGATTTTTTTTTATAGCAAAAGGTAGAAATTTATTGAGAAACAAGCACAGACTCCCACATGGGGAGTGTGAAAGAGTCCCTTGAAGTAGATTTTTTTATTCCTCACACAGCTTCCTAGCAGAGTGATGCTAAAAACCCCAGACTGCTTTGCAAAGACCACAGTTTTAACCACCATACTATACTGAACGCGGGCCCTCCCTCTTTTTAAAACGTGGATATAAAAAATGTGAAGATTTGCTTTAAGAGTTTCGGATACTAACTGGTTATAACATCCTACAAATATTTATAAAAAGCCTATTTAAACCCTTATCAGAGATAGCATTGGCAAATATATCCTCCCATGCAGTGGGCTTTCTTGTTGTTTTGTTGATGGTTTCTTTTGCTGTGCAGAAGCTTTTTATTTTGATGTAGTCCCATTTGTTTATTTTCTCTTTACCTTCCCATTGCTCTAGGAGCTGTATCGGTGAAGATATTGCTTTCAGCATATGTCTGAGATTTTGCTGCCTGTGGATTCCTCTAAGATTTTTATGGTTTCCCATCTTATTTTTAAGTCCTTTATCCACTTTGAGTTTATTTTTGTGTATGGTGTAAGTTGGTGGTCTAGTTTCATTTTTTTTTTTTTTGCATGAATCTGTCCAATTTTCCCAACACCATTTATCTCCAACATTTACAGGAAACTCATACACCTTAACAAAAGGAAGATAAACAATCCAATCAAAAAAATGAGCAACAG